TATCACAAAAAAAAAATAATATGTAAATACCATCTTTTCTCCATGTTTATTTCAAATTTTATGGGTTACACTGATTAATTACCTGTAATTATCTGCTTCACACTTTAAAACAAATTAATCACTATCAAAACAATTCCCAATTGTCCCACATTTAAACTTCCCAATTGTCCCACACTCATCTTCCCGATTGTCCCACAAAATTTCATTACTTTTTTACCTGTAATTTCAAAAAGTGGGACAATCGGGAAGACACCGCCGTTACTATTATCAATTTGTTATCTTCTCGGTACCAAAACTATATACATTCTTTCGTAATCTTTTTTTCAAATGTAAATTTTAAGCTTTTTTTAATCTAGTCTATTCGTTTCGGTATTTTTCGAAATTCATTTATACAAAAAAATAAACAAATTGGATAAATCAAGCGTAGAGAGATCAGACGTTTGTATAGAACTGCTACTGAAACTTGAGAAAGAAAAATTTTAAACATTTGATGTAATTCAGTAAGTCTTAAGAATTGTTTAAAACAGCATCTGATTTTTACCGTAGATTTTACAGAATACTTCTGGTGCTGCCAGAAAAGACATTATGAAATGAGAAAGAGGCTTTGTCACATCCACATGAGCACCCACGCTTTACTTCATAAATAAAGTTGGCAGTAATGCCAAATTTGGTTGTTTTAGTTTGCAGTTATGCCAAGTTTGGGTGTTATAAACATCCACCATATTTCCCCTTTAATGTCATGTCGATCCTTTAGTACGTAAACAGTTAATTAAAAAACACTCTGACATATAAATTGTGAATAATATAAAATGATTATACTTTTTTCAATCTACTTTTGGCGAATTTAGTTAGTTTTCTCGTTTGAATTGTTTTACATTTGTCATTTCTGTGTCTTTTATAGCTTGCTATGCGGTGTGGGTTTTGCTCATTGTTGAAGGCTGTAATGTAACCTATAATTGCTAAATTCTACGTCATGTGGTCTCTGGTGGAGAGTTGTTTCATTGGCAATCATACCAAATCTTCTCATTGTTATAATATATGCTGAGTTTACCTTATAATGACAGATTTGGTGTGTATTTTCCGACACCCATAAAAAAGCGCATGGCTCTATTCTTCACACTGTTAATACATGATAAATCCTTTGTATCCCATATGGCAGCACCATATTCAATAACAGACCAAACTAATGAATCAAAACGTTTTGTAAATGTGGAGTACTGAAAACCTCCATTAGCTTTACACTTGGATATTAATAACCCTAATGATCTACTAGCGGATTTTGCCACCGCTTTTGCCATATCATCATAACTCAAAAATTCAGTAAAAAGTAAACCAAGATAATTATAATGAGATACAGTATCTATTTTGTTACCATTAAATAAAAATTGAAAAGTAGTTCTAGGCACAGACTGTGTTCTAAAATGTACAATGTTTGACTTATCTAAATTAACTGTCATATCATTTTTATTGCACCATGTATTGAGTGTATCTAACAGTTTTTGTAAATCTTTCTCATTTTCAGTTAAAAATACAACATCATCTGCATACAATAATATACAAACTTTATCATTATCAATATTAATACCAATATTTAACCTTTTAATATCATCAATTAAATCATTTATAAAAATATTGAACAATAATGGCGATAATATACACCCTTGTTTTAAGCCACAATTTACGTTAAACCAATCAGTAAAATTACCGTTAATCTTAACACAAGACTGAACATTTCTATACAAAGAATGTATTGCCTGCAGCATTTTCGAACTTATTCCTAATGACTGTAGTTTACAAAACAATAAATCTCTATTAATCCAATCATAGGCCTTTTTAAAGTCAATAAATGCAATATAAGTTGAAAGTTTTCGAAGTTTTCGTGTTTCAATAATGTTTGTTAAAGTACTTATATGATCCAATGTATTTCTACCTTTTCTAAAGCCATTTTGCTCATCATGCAGGAAATCGAGGTCATCAAGTTTGTGTGTTAAACGTACATTTAGAACACCACAATATATAACGCTTGGAATTAACTAGATGTGGCAATCAATTTAGAAGTTCACACCCAATACCATATATGTTTTAGTTGTAGAATTCTGAATAATGGATGTTTTTGGTATATTGATTAACTAATCACATAGACAGTCTTATAACCTTTTGCTCCAGATATATATAATGCATAGATATTTTGAAAAATAATCTTACACTAAAGATGAAATAGAATTTCCCGTGTAGTTTTCAGGACGAACTTTAATTTTCTGTTTCATTCATCCAAACTTCGAATGCGTTAAAAATATTAAAAAATGAAAAAAATAATTTACATTTTTTTTTTTATTATCGAAGACAAGGAGCAAAGACCCGTATGTTGACTTCTAGATATATGTTGTTGTGTCGTGTAGTTTTTTGTGTTATTGGTGTCGACGTTAAAACAAGTTAAAATACATATATTGTTTTATGAAGTTACAAATTTTAACGGTGGATTTTAACATTTTATCAGATTATGAAAAGTTAATTTTTTTATTCAATAATGATAAAGTTTTTGAAAGTGTCGCCAGAACCTGCTATAGCATTTTAATCAGAAGAAATGGTTTTTTTATATAATTGATTATGCTGTATTTTAATGATATTCATAAGCAAATATATATTATATGTAATATGTACAATATCTAATTGTTTTTTAACAGTATTGCTTGTACAGTCTCTCATAAATCTTTTAAGATTGGCACATACAATGTGAATTTAAAGTTTGTTGTTATACATGTATGTTTTATGTACCTGTATGAATATTTTATTGTGTAAATATATGTAATTGTATGTGGTGAGACTTTAATAAAATATTGAATCTGAATCTGAACCTACATTTGAATATCAGAAATATGATATCTTGATTGATTGATTTATTGATTGCTGAAAGTCAGCGTTGAAAGGATCTTGTAGCATTATACTTCCCGAGGTTGTGAAATACATCAATAAATGTACCGAATATACGTAAAAGTGTCGTTAAAAAATCCTTTAAATTGCAATTTCTCATAATTTCGCACAGAAGACTTTGTTGTTCAAGATAGATTATTTGAAAATCGTTAGAATTTTGTGTTTCGCTTCTATTACCCGTTGCTTTGACCGTAATATGAACTGAATGACCATTAAGTGTTTGACCATCGTCCATTATTCGTTTAATAGCTTTGCGATTAGTATGACCATCAAAAAGATTATTTAAATCAGAAATATTTAGCGAGACAATATAAAACTCCCACAATTTCACACCAAATGATGACAACATGTCCAACCCACGACCTGTCCTTCTTTAGAATAAAATGTTTTAAACACTAAATAGCTCAATTATTTTGATAAATATTGAATTACTTTTTGTACAATGGTCGGATGTTCGCCTTTCAGCAATATTGTATTGTGGTTTATTTGACACACATGTAAAGATAGTTGAATTAGTGTAAATTATAGGTAAACATTTCATTTTGTAAACAAACGAACAATGGTCTTGACTAGATTGAGAATTGTTAGGGACATGTTTTTTTTTATTTCCGTGCAAATATTTGTGCGTGTGTCGATACGTGCATAACCTGCAAGTTAATCCTCAAAATGTACTAACTTAAGACATGAACTTTCAGTATTGGATGGAGCAAGGCTATATGATGGTACGTTTTGGGCCAAAATTGACACTGAATCCAACGTATTACTTACTCTGGGGTTTTATTTTGGTACTTTAGTAAAACATATTTATATCTGTTTAAAAAGTATTCATAATTCTATCTTTAGTATTAGGTGTTTTCTTTAATATACCAATTATTCGGATCAACTCTGCGTGTTCACCAAAGTATGCAAAAAAAAATTAAAATCCAAAACTATGCAAATTGAAAAAGTTTTATCAAAACTGTCTTTCATAGCAATGTGTTTTCCTGCAAGTAGTAGTTTAATTTCATTAATATTAAAAAGAAAGTTTAAAATATTTTAAGTGTGTTTTATAGACACTTCGATATTCAAATATTACTTTGTTTTTTTGTTGTTTTTTTTTTTAATTTTCTAATATGATTACAATGGCAATTGGAAATTCTGACATGACGTCCTTCAAACGCTTTGAGTACACACCCGTGGTAAAATACAAATATATTGTATATTAGCTGATCTGTAACAACATGATATGTTCAGGCTGTTCCGTTAAAGGCTTTTTATGAAAGAGTTACGCCAGTTGATCTGATGTCAATCGGTGGAAGTGACGTAATTGAAAAAAAGTATAACAAATATACCGAACTCCAAGGCAAATTCATAAAAACTGACAAAAGCAAACGCTATCAATGGAACAAGTGAAAAACAACCGCCATGAAAATCGACTCTTAACTGTGGCGTTATACTATAAGCAGTATGACTTCGGAAATATACGGGAAATAGGCGAATGAAAGTAAAATTAACAAAAATGTACCCCAGGTTTAGATTTCAAAATCAACTTATCGATAACTGTAGATCGGTACTAATGAGAACAATATAACTGCCAGGACACTTAGAAGAACTTAGAAATACTTTTATAGCATGTTTATATCGATAATCCGATGGGGAGCAGCATATAATTGATTGATTGGTGGTGTTTCAGCAGTCTTCGTTATATCGTCGCGCCTAGTTGTTATTGGTGGAGGAAGCCGGACTACCCGGAGAAAACCACCGACTTTCTGCAGAAAAAAGAAGTAGAATATAGGGGAAACACAGATACTGCTGTCAAAAGACATATTTGTTTGGGTTTTACTCGTTGTTGAAGGTCGTACGGTGACCTATAGTTGTTAATTTCTGTGTCATTTGGTCTTTGGTGGAGAGTTGTCTCACTGGCAATCATATAACATCTTCTTATATATATCTATAGTTTTTTTTTTCTTCTCTATTTCAACTTGTAATACATGGCAGTGTTTTGGGAAGCAGGAACTTAACTATACGAATTCTGGGTATAATACTCTCGAAATTCAGTCATTTACATGAAATATACAACAACAGCAAAACTTTTTTAATAAATGTTTTTTTAATGGTGGCTGTATACAGAAAAAAGTGTGATATGTTTAATCATTTTAACGTAATTGTTTAAGATGTTCTAATTCATATTCATGACCAAGTTCACTTTTGTACGATTTTTTCCAACATAAACCAAAGCTCTTGGTTAATTTTGTAACCTCGACACGGAAGTGTTTGTTTAGGAAACTGTAAATTATTGGATTGACGGCGTTGTTTAAGTAGTTGCATCTTGAAAACAATTTGAGAAGCACTTGAACAAACCCAGACGAGTCTTTTTCAATCTTTTTATATACAGATCTGCAAATCATTACACCAACGGAGGGTAAATAGCTCAATACAAACGCAATGGTGACGGCGATGAAAATCTTTGTTGTCCGAGAAGCTTTAATATGAGACAGTTTTTCAGATAAATTCGATACTTTTGATTTATTCGATAAGTTTGAAAATGTTCTGCGGAATTGTTTTTGATTATGTCCTACCGATGAGTGATCATCGCTGCTTTCACTTGATAACATTCGTCGTCGGCTATTTTGTCCACCTGCAACGCTTAATCTTGGAATCTCACCTATAAACATATCTTTTCTTCTTTTAATTGCTAACCATATTAAAAAGTACAGTGCCGATAATGTAACGAATGTTATTATAAACACTAACCCTAATATCAAATAATAAATCATTTGGAAGGTCGAGTCTTTGTATTTTTGATCAACGGAGCAATCAAATCCACATAGATTTCCTGAAATTTGTTCTCTTCTTGTTCCGAATAGAACCACGGCTGGACTACACAAAAGTAAAGCTAACATACCAGCTGATATAGACATAAATTTTGTTCTATTCCGATTACCAAAACGTAACGGCTTGCATATTTTAAAGTAACGATCAAATGCAATCTGTATTAAAATCACAGCGGATGCATACGTAGTGGCGTTTTCAACAGCTCTGAAAATTTTACACGCAATGTTTGAATAAAATGAGTAATGATAGAGTAAATCATATATGTCAATTGGCATCACCACGACACTCGTAATAAAATCAAACAATGCCATGGCAATAATAAAATTGTCCGCTGACCTCTTTTTTGACCTAAAACAGTAAATATACAGAACCAGTGCGTTTCCGAAACACCCAACGATCATCAGTAAAAATTGGAAGATGATGACTGGCAGAAAAAGAACAGCCTTTCTACGACTCAGTAGTAATAATTTTGGGTAAATCCAGTCTTCTGTAGAACAATTTGTTATGCCTGAAAACGAAACCGGCGTTAAAGACGTATTCCCCATGTATTTGTGATAGGAACTGAGTATGGTATGTCCGCTGTCTTCAAACATGACAGAGGCGAGAGTTGACATCTATAAAAGATAAAAAAAAATATCTTTACAAAAAAGATTTTTTAATCAATTGCATGCTTTAATGTTTTTCAAATTTTTACTTTCTCCTTTTTTTTTGTAGATGATACAACTTATCTTCATTAGGAATCCTATGTCTAATCATCATTGTCTCCTGAGTACTCGAAAAACACTAAGGTCTCCGCAGAGCAATGAGAAAAAAATATCTGTTCTATATCTACAACAGGTTTGGCATCTTGTATTCTCGTTTCCTGACAATTGACTTTATTACAAAATTTTAAAGAACAATAATTTTAATTTAATTATGTATGTCTTTAGCATTCCCGCCATTTTAATATTAGCTTTGTTCACCATACCTCTGAAGTCATTCTTCCTATGTTGTCAGAATAGATGGTATGAGATGAGAAAGAGGCTTATCATAAACACATGGACACACGAACTTTACTACTGTTGATAAATGTATATAGTTGGCAGATATACCAAGTTTGATTATTAATATTGGCAGTAATGCAAAGTTTGGGTGTCATAAACATCCTGCATCCTTCATATTTCCCCTGAAATGTCAAATGTCATGTCGATCTTTATGTACGTAAAAAGTTCACTAAAACATTCTATCTTTTAAATTGTATTTTATACTTTTGTTCAATCTTATTGGGCGAATTCAAGTTATGTGGAGGGTCTAGCAACTGTTGTGATACTAATGAGGGAAAGGTGTTCATCCATGACTGGTTCTCTGTCCTTTATCTGTTTGCCTCTGACAGATATATGTTGCAAGGGAGAGGACCAGCCTAGTGTTCATCCATGGTTTTTGCGATTTAAAAAAGGGAACAATTTGTCTTCTTTTTCGATACCTCTCTACAATTAACGAGTTTACTCTTACATGTTTAGTAAGTCTGTAGGGTGGATTTCCGTCTAATGATTCGGCATACAAGTCCTGCAAAGCAATTTCTAACAAATAAGTAGCAAACATGCAATAATTTTAGATTTTGTAGATGGTGTAACTGATTTTCGTTTCATATCACTATTTACAATTTAATCTCATCGTTTTTAATATTTATTTCGCTGAGTTTTTTCTCACTGACGAAACTTTACCTCACATCTCTTTTTATCCATATGTGCTATTTGTATCTGGCCGTTAAACAGTCATCAATCAATCAGTAATTGTATTCTGTACCCTTTATTATTCCACTGATCGTTGGGTCAGGAAGGGCGTTAGTGATTGCCTTTGTGTCATATCATTATATCTGAAAATGTGATGATCGTGTATGATTGAAAATAAAATGTGATGATCGTGTATGATTGAAAATAAAATGTGATGATCGTGTATGATTGAAAATAAAATGTGATGATCGTGTATGATTGAAAATAAAATGTGATGATCGTGTATGATTGAAAATAAAATGTGTTGATCGTGTATGATTGAAAATAAGACAACTATTCACTAAAGACCAAATGACGTGGATAGTCAGCGTACAACATAACCCATGCAGTATAGTAAGCTATAAAAGACCGCGACACGACAAAAAGTAAAAACATCTAAATGAAAACAAAATGCTTTTATTATAAAAATCAAACCAACTTAAAGTATTATAGTCATAGAGTTGCCATGCAGGTTTATTTTGTTTCTATTGTTTACTACCTTCTGTTGACTTCTCGATAAGTTTTGTCGTGTCGGCGGATATCTATGCCATTGAAGTCCATGTGTTTTATTTCTCTCAATAAATCATCAATATTAGGACGAAGTGAAGTATACGAAATTTGGCAATATTTCGGATTGGTCACGAAATGTTAAAATCGCCCCTTCGATGTTAATTTGTTTTAAAATCTGGTTTAAATACTACCAATTTTACATAATTTGTTTATGTAATCACTATAAATACAATACAACTTATTTTTGACACATCAAATTATAGAATAGAGGCGAAAAATACCAAAGGGATATTCAAACTGATAAGTCGAAAACAGCCAAACAATGCCATGGAAAAACAACTAAACAATGCCATGGAAAAACAACCAAACAATGCCATGGAAAAACAACCAAACAATGTCATGGCAAAACAGCCAAACAATGCCATGGCAAAACAACCACACAATGCCATGGCAAAACAACCAAACAATGTCATGGCGAAACAACCAAACAATGCCATGGCAAAACAGCCAAAAAATGTCATGGCAAAACAGCCAATCAATGCCATGAGAAAACAACCACACAATGTCATGGTAAAACAGCCAAACAATGCCATGGCAAAACAACCAAACAATGCCATGGCCAAACAACCACACAATGCCATGGCAAAACAACCACACAATGCCATGGCAAAACAGCCAAACAATGTCATGGCATAACAGCCAAACAATACCATGGCAAAACAACCACACAATGCCATGGCAAAACAACCACACAATGACATGACAAAACAGCCAAACAATGCCATGGCAAAACAGCCAAACAATGGCATGGCAAAACAACCAAACAATTCCATGGCAAAAACAGCTAAACAATGCTATGGCAAAACAACCAAACAATGCCATGGCAAAACAACCACAGAATGCCATGGCAACACAACCACACAATGCCATGGCAAAACAACCACACATTGTCATGGCAAAACAACCAAACAATGCCATGGCAAAAACAACCAAACAATGTCATGGCAAAACAACCACACAATGTCATGGCAAAACAACCAAACAATGCCATGTCAAAAACAGCCAAACAATGTCATGGCAAAACAACCAAACAATGTCATGGCAAAACAACCACACAATGCCATGGCAAAACAACCAAACAATGTCATGGCAAAATAACCAAACAATGCCATGGCAAAACAACCACACAATGCCATGGCAAAAAATGAAAAACTATCAAAAGACCAACAGTATGCAAAACACAAAATACAAAATAAAGACTGAGCAACACGAACTCTGCCAAAAACTGGGTGTGATATCAAATTATATAAATTATGAATGTTTGACTCCTTAATAATACATCATTTGTGTGAAATGTCAGTTTTAGGCCACTTTTCACAATTTATAACAGAAATACTGCCCACATTAAACATGATGAATATTCTGGCAACTTTGGATTTAACCCGTGTTTAAGAAAATTGTTGTGCCTAGGAATTCAATACAAAACTTTTGGTTAAAGAACATTTTGGATCGTTGATTGTGACCAAGCTTTTCCGAGCTAGTACGCATGAGAAAATGCACAAAATCGTATTTTGACAATATCTCCAAAATGTTAGTTTTTCTTTTTAGCCTATAATGTACTCTAATGAAGATATTTGTTATGATATATTGCAATAAAGTTGAAATTTAAGGTCATATCTTGGTAAAGATTAACCATGTACTTTTGCATGCATTTAATACTCGTTAACATGCAATTGAGTATTGGAAAAGATTACATGTAGTACTTATTCAACAAAATACAATCAATTAAATAAATCCATAAATGCATAAAAAGTGTCATAAAAAGATTTTTTCCTTCAAATTGTGATTTCTCAACTCTTAGCCCATAGAATATTTGTTAAAATATGAGAAATTTTATTGCAGTGAACATATTGATTATATTGAATTTGTTAGAAATTTGTTTTCACATGTATGTACCCGTTCTTATGATCGTAATATGACCTAAATGACCATTAAGTGTTTGCCCATCATCCATTCTTCGTTTAATAGCTTTGCGATTAGTATGGCCATTAAATAGATGACTTAAATCAGAAATATTTAGCGAGACGATATAAAACTCCCACAATTTCACACCAAATGATGTTAAAATGTCCTCCCCATGACCCGTCCTTCTTAAAACTAAAACACTTAAAAGCTCAATTATTTTGATATAAATTTTGAATTGGTTTTTTTATAAATGGTTTGAAGTTTGCCTTCAGCTATAAGTAATAAGTATTGTGGTTTATTTGACACTGAAACACTGTTAGGTTAGTGTAAATTATAGATAACAAATTTCATTCCGTAAAAACAATATTATTTACTAGATTGAAATTTAAAGCAATATGATCCTTCAAATTTAAAAAAAAAATGTGAATGAAGATCGACTGCATTAAACAGAGCTTTTTCTACAAAACCGGGAAAAGTAGTAACAAAAACAAAAATTTGAAGGTCATGAAAAATGTTACTTCGTGAAGAACCACCCTGTTCCCTCAACAAATACACCGAAGATGATATCATCATGATGCGGATCATTTTGATCGACAACATATAAATTGAGATTGATGGATTAACTTACAACAGCTAACACGTTATGATCGTGCATGTTCACATCATACGGATTCGTTAACAGGAGTGTAATTCGTACACAAGAACTGTCCAAAAAGAGTTATGAGGAAGAATAGACACTGCATAGGTTTTACTGTGACCATCAGAAATTTGTTGAGCGATACGATGTGTCGATGTGTCGATGTTTCAACTTACTAACAACCTGTTTTCGCGATCTTAGATCTTTAGATGCAAGTAGAGTCGTATGATTTGCAATTTTACCGATTGTGACATTTTTACTGAGTGTGAATTAGCATGGTGGTTTTATGCATGCATACCAGGAGACGCCTATCCTCTCGACGCACCCGATCTCACTCCTTTAGGAGTTCAACTGATTCCCCCAGGTTTTGTTTGTTATCTTGATTTGCCTCTTCATATTCGATTTACGAAATTTTAGTGCTTCATGTTTTGTTGTTTTCGTGTTTTAGCCCTAGCGTTGTCAGTTTGTCATCGACTTATGAGTCTGAAGAACCAATTGGTATCTTCCGACTCTCTCTTTAATAACCAATTGGTATCTTCTGACTCTTTAATAACCAATTGGTATCTTCCGACTCTCTCTTTAATAACCAATTGGTATCTTCCGACTCTCTCTTTAATAACCAATTCGTATCTTCTGACTCTCTCTTTAAAAACCAATTGGTATCTTCCGACTCTCTCTTCGAACATCGGTAAACCTTAATTTGTTTCGTTTGTGCCTTGTTCTCTGGTATTTTTTTTTTTTGGCCCGGACACCTGTTTCGTTGGGTTTTTTTTGTCCCGTTTGTGCCTTCCTCTATGGATTTCTATTTTAATGCTTTGCCCATGTTTTTCCCGTTTGTGCCTTGCTCTCTGAAATTATATTTTCATGTTTGCCCTGACGCCTGTTTCATTGCCTTGTTGCCGATGGTTTGCCCCGTTTGTGCCTTGTTTTCTGGATTTCTATTTCAATGTTTGCCCTGACACCTATCTCGTTGCCTATGTTTTGCACCGTTTGTGTCTTGCTCTTTGAATTACTTTTTTCATGTTTGCCCTGACACCTGTCTCGTTGCCTTGTTGTCGATAGTTTGCCCCGTTTGTGCCTTTTTCTGGATTTCTACTTTTATGTTTGCCTTTATTCCTGTCGTCGTTTGTGACTTGTTCTCTTGATTTCTATTTTTATGTTTTTCCTCATTCCTGTTTAGTTGCTTATGTTTTGCCTCGTTTGTGCCTTGTTCGCCGGATTTTTATAGTTAATGTTTGCCACGACACCTTCGGGTTGTCGATGTTTTACCCCGTTTGAATCTTGTTCTATAGATTTTCATATATATTATACCTTTTA